GTTTCATATGCCAGCTGTGTAATTTTCTTGTGTTTTCCTCTCTCCACAGGAGAGCCTGACAAGGAGCTGAATCCTAAGAAGAAGATTTGGGAGCAGATCCAGCCAGATCTTTGTACTAATGCCGAGTGTGTGGCTACGTACAAAGGAGCTCCCTTTGAGGTGAAAGGGAAGGGAGTGTGCAGGGCTCAGACCATGGCCAACAGTGGAATCAAATAGACTAAAATGTGTCATTCGTGAAATACAGTGGAGAAAACTTTAATAATAATAAAAAAGACTGTATTTGTCACCCGCATGTGAAATAAAACTGGCTCGTTTTTGTGTGATTTCTCTTCTAGACTTGTCTAGTCTTTTCCCTGCTGTATGCTGTTATCAATTGACTTGGGAAACACTACATTGCTACCTATGGTTTTGGTCCTTTATAATGGAAAGAAGTTGCTGATATGTTGTGATAATTTATTTTTTAGCAGGGATGTTGATTAGCAGGTTTTTTCTTTATCCATTTTCTTTACACGTTTAGGTAATGTGAACTAGATTAGTATTTAGTTAGTATAGTATCTTATTTGTGGGCACATGATGCACTTCAAGTTTTAGTCTGTTGTATCCTCTTAAAAAAATGACAAGTTGCAATTTTTGTCAAACTATTTAACTAGTCACATTGTAACAATACTGAAAATGCTCAACTACTACTAATTCTGAGAGCCTAACATAAAAGGTAGGACATACTGCATTTGAGCATTTTTGCTTTGCTACCAAAGAACCCTGAATAATAATACCTAAAATGACTTTTGTGAAAAACTGAAATTTCCAACTGTGTCTTGAATTTTGTCTTTCCACTTGGCAAAATAACTCACAATGCATTTGACTAGCTTTAAAGAATAAATAAGTTGTACAGTGTTGTCATTGTAGTTAACAATAAATTGATCATACAAATAACATTCTCGTTTTTCATTCTGTTTTATGAAGATTCTTTGGGTATATAATAAAAGATCTTTTATAGCTTATTATCTTTAGAAGGGCATTTAAAATTGGTATGTTTTGTTTTTTTGAGTGCCATTACACTATCAATATATTAAAGGAAATTTATGGCTCAAACTTAATATATATGATACATGTACATAAACACCTCTTGTCATTCATTTTATAAGTATTATAGGAACGATGTGAATTAACTTAGGAATTATAAGTCACAAGGTCACCATCCTTGAGATGACAACTGATGATTTGGGCTACCACAAAAAGGAAGGCATCTGTGAAGGCAGAGGCACAGGGATTATTTGAAAAGTGCATGTGCTCACACACACAAAGCGTCCAGCACTGCAGCTGTCTAGATCCTCCAGTAAGAAGGACAGGCAAAACCCCAAAAAACTAGCAATGACTGTACAGCAATACTGCACGTTATAAAAGGTATAATTAAAGTTTGTTTATTTGAGTCCATGGAGCTCTGGAGGCCAGGATTCAGTACCATTATGGATGTTGTATGTTCATTTTGAAAAACTAAATTTGAACAGAACCCAAAATTTTGTTGATAACACGAAATCAATTTCAAAAGTTACTTTATTCTCAAAGTATGTTATTCTTTGGGGAATAAATACTTGGTGACAAAGTCTCTTGTTCCTCTTTTTCTTATATTAAATTTCTATAACATAATTTTCATGAATATTTCAATTACTTAGATAGTTGAAATAGTCCCATATAGTCATTTTTCCCAACGAGATATTGAAATATTCTAACCCAGATCAAATTATCTAAAGTTTGATACTGAAACCTAAATTAATGATTAAGCTATTCGTTGAACTAGAAATAAAACTTCTTTGGTTAAAGCCTATGGTGCAGTATTGTCAGTAGCTTGTTTATGGCTGAAATTTATGAATTCTCACCACAAAATTAGGAAATTTATGGAATAAGTTGCAAAAGTTTCACACACCTCTCATCTGTCTCAATCACTATATTATACTTGCCAATTTTACCAAATTGTTATGCTTCCTTCCATAATTCTCCTAGATCTTTAGCACATAAAAATTCATGTTAAAGAGAGGAGGAAGTTGGGAGTTAATAAGCAATTTTTCAAATAGCAAAGCAACAATTAAAATTAACAATTCAGCCCCTATTCAGTTTTTCTTCTAACTACAACAAAAACAACTTAATTCTGTTTTATTTGTATTGCTGGGCTGGGAGAGTCCTATGGAAGCAACATCAACGACAAGAAAATGGCATTGTTAGCAAACCGAACATGACCCTTCTGACCAGTATTCTGCCCATTAAGGATTTGAACAGTAAGAAGTAGTGCTAAGTCAAAGGCAAAACAGCCAGTGCCTCCTGCTCCTGGAAGTCATTCCCTTCTTGATACCTACTTACATGTTGCCAACTAAACCGGAAATAAAGCTGACCCTCCCCGGAAATACTTTCTCAAGCAAGACTGGTCCGCTATCTTCTATTTAGAGTACTATCTGATATTTAAAAATTCCTTGTATATTATTCTTTTTGAGATGAGTACTCGTTAGATCATACTTTTTTCCACATTAGTTAAATGATTGTGTGCTTTCTTTTATTTGGATGAAAAGTTTAACTTTCGTTTAAACATTAGGGAAAGATAGTGACAAAAGCAAAAACTCTGAACTCTAGTTGTTCATCTAAGATTAGGGTAGCTCCCTTAGTAGGCAATTGAAGAGAGTCTAAGGGGAGAGATGAGATTATTGAACTCCTTTAGTGATTGTCAAGAGAATTTATCAGTTTGTGTGCGAGTGTGGCGGGGGAGTTTATAGGAAGAATTCACATGGCTAAACCAAGCTGTACCACCGGCAGCAATTGCCTTCTTCAGTAGCCGTATGCCTTGATCCTCTGATTAGTGCACTGTTGTTGAGGGCACTGAACCTATAATGACAACCCATGCCTAAATCCAACATATGAGATAAGACACTAAATTCCAGATAGATAGATAGATAATTTAAAACAAAAACAACTTATACCCAACTGTGGTACTATTTGGACAATAACCCCAAAGTTTGTAACAATAAGGAAAAGCAGGGTAGATGCTCACAGTTAATGCACCTCTGTACAAAACTGAATCCTCAGGTCCCAGCCTATTGGAGTAAGAAAGAGTGACTTATCTGTTCTTGTTTAATATACTTTTTATATTTATGATTTTTCCTCTACATAAATCTTAGCAGAGATAATTTAGTGGAACATAACCCCCCCCCCAAATATATATATTTGGAGGAAAGACCCAGAACAATGAAATAATTATTGGTTTAAAAGTAAGCCATCTGAAATTTCAGAGTATGAATTAATTGTTGGATACGGTATTTTCCACCCTATGTATTCCCTTGTTTTTTTTCCCCTTGCTTCCTAACTTCCACCCCCTCCCAACATAAAATATTCCCAATTCTCTATATTTTTAAGTAAAAAAGTGTGTTTAGGCGTTATTTTATGCCTTCATCAACATCATTTCCTATTTGGCAGGCTATTGTCCTTAGCAACAAAAGCAGAAACAAGCCTAGGCCTCGGGAATTGCAAGGAGAAAGAATAATCCTTTTTAATGAAGGGTTAACTATTCTTCTTGCCTTTCTCAATGCTACATAATTCCTACAGGGTTGTTACAATAGCAATCGTTAATATCTGCTCCTTTTCTCAGTGGCATTGGGGTGACGGGCCTTTATATCAAGGCTGTCCTGACAAAGTTTTATTTGTTTTTATAAAGTGCCTCATTGGAATATTATACATCCCAGTAGAGAAATGCTCTCAATATATACATGCACTTAAGTTTTCAGCCCTAAGAGTATATATTTGGCTGATACTTGTTCATTTAAAACCCATTCAAATTTTCACACCTGGGGAATTTGGAAAGAACAGTGCAGGAGTTATCCAAAATCAACACCATGACTGGATTTATCTTTGAAAAAGATTAATGAAAAATGCAAACTAAAAGTCACTTTTGATAAGTTTAGCAGAAAAGAATGAATTTTTTTAGAAATCTTTTTTCTATAACCTTAAGATTCCTTGGAATAACATTTTCTCTTAACAACAGCAATACATTACAAACAAATTCTTCACGTTTGTGAAAAGAGACTTATTTTTAAAATAAAGTTTGAATGAGAAGCTGGGATGTAGCAGCCCATATAGCCTATGGCTAAGAGGAGTGAGAGTTATAAGAAATACCTGTAATGGAACACCTTGGTGAAAAGGGCATGGAGAGAGATTTGGTTCTAACAAGCATGAGTGAGCTCGCGAGATGACAGCATTGGTGAATTGGCAGTCTCTACACCTGTGGTGTTGAGACGCACGAGCTCAGCCTTATATTAGGCTGGAGGAGCAGGCAGTCAGGGGCATGTGCATTCTATCACGGATCCACTTACTCTGGCTCTGTCTCCTCTGCTGCCTGCAGAACGCCAACACGGCGTCTCTGCTGAAGATTACGAAGCTCTGCTAAAGACTAAGAGCTATCTGTTCTAAGAAGACATTTACTCTCTATAAGATACTCTGTCTCTCTCTCCAGCTAAAGTAGATAGCCCTCAAGCACCTACGAGAAACTGTTCCTGAGCAAGGTAGCTTAGTGGTTCGCGTCCAGAACCTACCTAAGCTGGGCCAGAGACCTGGCCAGTCCTGGGCCCTGACGCTGGGAGATAACTTTGTCACTTAAAAGCATTAGTCTTATGTAAAAGAATTATGTCCCAAATTAATAGACAGTAAATCTAATTAAATTATTTAGGGAAAAAAGGCAAAATATAGATAGATAAACAGAGCTTTGAACCTGTAGGCTTAAAGCCATGTGTGGCCTTCTAGGGCCTTAAGTGTGGCCTTTTGACTGGATCCTAATTTTATAGGACAAATCCTTTTATTAAAAGGGAGGGGCATCAGGGAAAGGTGCACCTTTTCTTGCCTCTTTTGGTGCTTCAAAAGGAATAATATTGAAATTAGAAGGCCACAGGTTCCCCTCCCACCTATAAGGCTCAGAGCTGGAGACTTTAGGGGTAATCACTAATATGCCCAAATGATATGCACTGATGAGACTCTAAGCCTAGCTGCACAACAATATCAAGTGTAATATACTCCAATCCTTTAAATGTCCAAAGCATCTTCATATATAAAATTTAGTAGAGGTTTTTGGCTTCCGGATCAGTATAACATTCAGATTAGCCATCTAATGAGACCTAAGAAGAGATTGTAAATAACAGGAAAGGTGGCAGGACACCAAAGACAAAGTTGGTGGACATCGTTTACCGAGAGCTAATCCTGGTCACAGTTATTTTGTTGCACATGGGAAGAAGGATGTGATACCTTTCCTCACCCCTCATAAGGGTCAAGACC